ACTCCAGGTAGGTAGACTCCGGGTAGGTAGACTCCGGGTAGGTAGACTCCAGGTAGGTAGACTCCGGGTAGGTAGACTCCAGGTAGGTAGACTCCAGGTAGGTAGACTCCAGGTAGGTAGACTCCAGGTAGGTAGACTCCAGGTAGGTAGACTCCAGGTAGGTAGACTCCGGGTAGGTAGACTCCGGGTAGGTAGACTCCAGGTAGGTAGACTCCAGGTAGGTAGACTCCAGGTAGGTAGACTCCAGGTAGGTAGACTCCAGGTAGGTAGACTCCAGGTAGGTAGACTCCAGGTAGGTAGACTCCAGGTAGGTAGACTCCAGGTAGGTAGACTCCAGGTAGGTAGACTCCAGGTAGGTAGACTCCAGGTAGGTAGACTCCAGGTAGGTAGACTCCAGGTAGGTAGACTCCAGGTAGGTAGACTCCAGGTAGGTAGACTCCAGGTAGGTAGACTCCGGGTAGGTAGACTCCGGGTAGGTAGACTCCAGGTAGGTAGACTCCGGGTAGGTAGACTCCGGGTAGGTAGACTCCAGGTAGGTAGACTCCGGGTAGGTAGACTCCAGGTAGGTAGACTCCAGGTAGGTAGACTCCAGGTAGGTAGACTCCAGGTAGGTAGACTCCAGGTAGGTAGACTCCGGGTAGGTAGACTCCGGGTAGGTAGACTCCAGGTAGGTAGACTCCAGGTAGGTAGACTACAGTATAGTGGTGACAGTTCTACATTTCCTTCACCTACCGAGGAAGTACACTCAAATGCTCACTTTGGTGAGTCGTTATGTGAAGGGAACAGAAAATATGGTTGCACATGTATTTTCTTGAATGTAATGTACATAATGTAGTGTGTAGAACATTTATCTGCTCTAGTTTTTCAGTGGGTGAGTAGATGGCATTTCTGACCACCTAATGAACTGAAGCTCGGTGAGTTGGGATAGAAGGGGGTGTTCAGATTTCTTAAGTGTGTGTTTTCGGTCGTAGTCACGTAAGTACATGCCTAGGTAAGGTATGCTAACATTTTAGGTTCTGGCAGTCATTCCTCACCTGTGTTTTGTTGGTGTATGGACTGTTGGACCAAAGGTTGTGGTTAGGCGTTGGCGGTGAAGCATCACCATTTTTGGGTCATAAATAGTGATTTTGTGTGTTTTGTGTTCTATATTTCTCCAGGACCTACCTGTTTCTTTGGATCACCAGTGTGGGGCGACTCCAGGGTTCCTTGGAATGACAGTGTAGATGAAGGCCTGGGAGGCCTGTCTTTTGAGGGATCAATGATGATGACTCAAAAGGCCACCGTCCCACCGAGAAAATCTATATATGACTAACTACCCAGTTTTGAAGTCTGATAAATTTCCTTCCCGTGCTCTCCAATTTTTCCCGGAGGTGTGTTTTGCGTAACCAGTTTTGCTTAGTGTACATTGCTGTGAGACACGGGGTTGATAATGTAATATTCTGTTTGTAATAATGCATATGTACAATAATTTTTTGCAAAGTTTCTAGACACTAATGTTGTATAAAGAAAGAGTTTCTCATTTTTTTAATAATCATGTAATTAATATAGAGATATAAAGAGTATATATTTTTTATGAAGTGTCCATTTAATTTTTGAAAGCAGAGATGTGTGATGTGATAATAGACAGTAATGTTGTTTAAAGAGAAACTTGCTCAATTTATAATTTTTGTACTGATGTAAATAAGTTTACTTAAATATAATTATTGTATATACTTTCTATATTATTCATGTATACAGAGGTAACCTAGACACCCGTCTTTTTTGTATGTGTTATGTATATACAGTGCATTAACGTAGGTGTTTGGTCAACACTGAGTTGTAATGTTGCAGTTTCCAAGTTTATGTTTAAGAGTACAGTTATAAAGCACGACTGTGACTCATCTGGTATAAAACCTGATCACTTTCACATTAAACGAGTTTCACATGTCTGCGGGTTAGCAGTGCTCATTGTAGGGATCAATTGTAGGTGATCAATGTCTATTTTTATTTTCTATGTAAAAGTAAATTGCACCAATACAGTGCTTGATGCATTTTCTTATTTTTAGTGAATTTTGTGTTCCTTCAGACCTTAGGTTAATTTCCATTTTTTTTTTTTTGACTAGCTGCAGCTAGTCAGGGGAAGGAGATATTACACAAGGCATTGTAGAAAATATATGTAGAAAAAACAATCCATAATGTCAGTTTATGGGATTTGTTCTGAAACCAGATGCATATTAGTCCTGAAGAGCAGCCAGGACAGGAGCAGGAGAGGTGTTTTTGACTCTACGGGAAGAGCGGCGGCTGGAACAAGACGTCATGGTTTGGTGTTTATGTAAGTATGAGAGGTGATTTTGGGTAAAGTTATGTCATAGGTTGCTTTAAAAATTTTGTATTTACTCTCCTGTTATATCTATAAGGCTCTAGAGTGAGAAGAGGACTGTTTAAGTTTTGGGAGAATACTCGTGTAGTGTTTTGCCTTCAGGCTCTTAAGAGGCCGGCAGAAGGAAGGGGTCATGGAGCCTCTCTGATCATAAATGTTTATTTGTTTTAACGACTAGTAACAGTGAGCTAATTTGAGTACTGGGTAAAGGTGTACTGGCGTTTGGTGATTTTTGTATGTAGTGGGTAGGTTGTATGTTGTATACGTTAGGTTAATATTAATAAATTATATTTTTCTATATGTTAGATTTTGTGCCCTTTCTGTTAATATAAATATTGGTTATTCGCTTAATGTTTTTTGTAAAGAAACAGACTTTGCCTCAGGTTTAATAGTTTACATGCCCCTAGATAGGCTGTTTACCCCTAGGCACCACCATTTATTTTTATGTAATGTAATATGTTACAACCGCATGTAAAGTACATTATAATGTGTTTTTTGACTGAATTCATGTCTGTATAAAGAATTCATTACAATTGTTTCCAGATCATTAATTTCTAAATAATTCACTGTAACTTGTTTAATTCTCAGATGTTTGAGGCCCTGTGGGGTAAACTACCAGCCAAGTTTACTTTCGAACATAAACATATAACAGAAAGGTACTTAGCTTCTGTTGACAGCTCAGATTTCTTGCAACCGCAGTTCAAGGAGTTTCCTTCGATTGAGCTGAGGTATTCCCACCAGTGAGCCGTAGAATAGTGAGTAATTAAAATTCGCCCCAAAGGAGCGTATAATTCAAACATTTCACAATTGTTGATATGTGTAATGAGAACCGACTGTTGTTGGGCGTAAAGCCTTCGTGTCACGAGGTCTATTGATAAACCCCATTTAAATTCCATATCTACCTAGTAGCTGCATCTTACATAAGAAGATATGAGTATGAGTGAACTTAACTGGGTATTGTAATTGACCCAAATAGGTTTATTGGCCCCGAAAATGGTATCTTGAGTAGGATGCTTCCACAGATACGTCATCATAATGTCCTATCACGCGCCATCGCATCTTTGTAGTCACTTATCAATACCACCATGGTAGGGATTAGGGAGAGATTTTCTCCCAATGTTTGCTTATGCCTGAGATCACACCGCGAAAATATGTTAAAACACACTTTATTATGATTTATACCATGGATCAATACACTTGTGTTTGTCCTGTTTACACTAGATAAGTTTCCTAGTGGATATTAATAGTGTTTCAGAGTCTACCGCACAAATTCACTGGTGTCTTTGTCATCAGTGGGAAATTTTGTGACATATCCACGCTCTGATTCCTTAAGCCAGTCTGGCCTGCAGCCCTGTGTAGCACCCTGCAGCTCCTCATACCCACAAAGGAAATGCTGATATCAGCTTATAGATATTCATTGTTAGCCTTTCCAACAGAGATTAACACAAGAGGGCAGTTTTCTTGTTGTCAAGCTGTGGGCTAAATGTTATAACACCCCGACTTGTAGATCAAGTGGGGTGCAGGTTTTCCCATAATTTTCCTACTATAGGGAAAGAACAATTACTCTGGATTTACCTCATATGTGTAGTCACAAGGAGAGAGGCGTGCCTGGTGACAATAATAATAATAATAATAATCTTTATTTACTACAAGTACATGTACATGGTATACAGTCCTAGCTGACAACAATGACATACTACTACTTAGAAAGCCACTTGTTATGCTGAGCATCTCGGGCAAATTAGGTCAGTGTCCCAGGATGCGACCCACACCAATCGACTAACACCCAAGTACCCATTTTACTGATGGGGAACATAGACAACAGGTGGAAAGAAACACGCCCAATGTTTCTACTCTGGCTGGGAATCGAACCCAGGCCCTCGCCGTGTGAAGCGAGAGCGTTAACCACCAAGCCACCAGAGCCTTGTAAACATGTAGTTTTAGCAAAGCTGTTGTGGGAACAAGGAAGTAGAAGAGTCCACTAGCCCCTTCCGAGAGGGCTAAGTCCCTAAGAAGGCTGAGGGCTGAGATATAACCCCCCTCCTATAAAAATGGAGATTTTTTCTCCACAGGCCCAGTCCCTAGGCCCACTATGTGCCTCTGTAATCTTTCCCATTAACATCTAAAATATGGAAAGTCAGGCGTGAGACCAGATATCAGGACAAGTGTCAGATCAGATGTGAGACCAGGTGTCAATACATATAAAACAAGAAAGTGTGGACCAGTATTCCGAACAGGACTAAGGTAAAGGTAAGCGGAGTGACGATGGTCAGTAACAGACTATGGAGCAGAACTATTCTCCAGGCTAATAAGGGACTGACCAGCTTATAACCACGTCTTCGAGTTTGATGGACTGATTACATCGTCTTTACATGTCTACTGCTTCTGCTACCTCCTCTGTATTCGACTGAAGAAGCCTACTCTCAAACGTTTAGAAGTAAAGATACCCAGCTGTTGCACGTGTCTTATCAACTTGTTGGTGTTGTATACCGTTATCATATTTATGACATGAAGAAAGGCAGAGATGGTGACACTGTTATACAAACCGTACATATATTCGTAGTTGCGGTGGTCAGTGGAAGGCAGCAGTGGTGGTGTTCCACATACGAGCGAGTGTACTGTCATCCCATGTCCAGCATCACCCTGGGTCAGTAGTATATATACTGGTGATGACCTCTTTGTGAGTCTCATCTCCTGCAGACACACGCTCACACCCTCACATCACTCCCCAGTCCTCAGGTATCTACCATGTCTCATATCACTCATATCAGTCAGTAAACTAAAGTAGCCTTGAAGTGTTCTTCACACCTAATACAACTGTATCAGGGATGAAGAAAACTTATCACGTTAACACGCATTGTCACTGATTTTTTTTATTGTCAACATCTATGATACATCTATTTCTGATTTATGATTATTATTATTAGAGAGGGTGAATGCCTCCTAATATTTATTTGCTAAATAATGGGAAGTAATGGCACATAATAAACTAATATACAGGTCATAGGATGAAGGAGATCATTACAGAGTAGAGAGTTTAAGTCATTCAGGAAGTAAAGTGTTGACCTGGTGACTGCTGAACAAACAGGACAGTGATCGAGGCTGCCAGAGAGATCCAGATTCTTACCTGCTGACCCAGCTAGGACGGAGGTCAGTAATGAAACATGCACAACACTGCCTCCATGTGACCGTCATTCATGGCACGTCTTGCATAACAAGCTCTTCATGTAACCGTCATTAATGACATGGAAGAGGACGCGTCCAGAGTTGCTGACGTCGTCACCTGCATCCATTATAAGAGAACTGATACACACTTGTTTCAGAGGCTGGTTGGTTACTTAATGTGATTTAAAACCTCAAGACTATACAAGGGTCATTAAAGCTGCAAGTAACTGTTCATCATCGGTCAAGAATATATTCCTCACTCCTATAAGATGTTATTCCTCCTTGCCCTATACACGAAATCACAGCTTCCCTATCTTCATCAACATTTAACAATTCCTCAAAATTCCCTCCATCTTCCCGATACCTCTAACTCTCCATTTAATAACTCTCCTCTCCTATTTTTAACTGTCAAATCCATTCGTTCCCTATGCTTCCTCAACTTATTAATCTCACTCCAAAACTTTTTCTTATTTTCAACAAAATTTGTTGATAACATCTCACCCTCTCTCTCATTTGCTGTCTTTTTACATTGGTTCACACTCTCTTAACCTCTCTTTTTCTTTCCATATACTCCTCCCTCCTTGCATCATTTCTACTTTGTAAAAAAAACTCTCATATGCTAACTTTTTCTCCCTTACATCTCTTTACATCATCATTCCACCAGTCGCTCCTCTTCCCTCCCGCACCCACTTTCCTGTAACCACAAACTTGTGCTGAACACTCTAACACTACATTCTTAAACCTACCCCATACATATTCAACCCCATTACCTATAGTCTCACTAGCCCATCTATCCTCCAATAATTGTTTACATCTTACCCTAACTACCTCCTCCTTTAGTATATAAACCTTCACCTCTCTCTTACCTGCTGCTTCCATTTTCCTTGTATCCCATCTACCTTTTACTCTCACTGTAGCTACAACTTAAAAGTGATCTGATATATCAGTGGCCCCTCTATTAACATATACATCTTGAAGTCTTCTCGACTGTGAGAGACACTGGTAGTGTGTGAGAGACAATGCTAGTGTGTAAGAGACACTGGTAGTGAGAGACACTAGTAGTGTGTGAGAGACACTGGTAGTGTGTAAGAGACACTGGTAGTGTGTAAGAGACACTGGTAGTGAGCGACCCTAGTAGTGTGTGAGAGACACTGGTAGTGTGTAAGAGACACTGGTAGTGTGTAAGAGACACTGGTAGTGAGAGACACTAGTAGTGTGTGAGAGACACTGGTAGTAAGAGACACTGGTTGTGTGTAAGAGACACTGGTAGTGAGAGACACTAGTAGTGTGTGAGACACTAGTGTGTGTGCAGCAGTCGTAGGTGGTGTCATCGTTGACAACTCCAAAGGTGGAAGTAGGTCATCACCTACTTCCACCTGTGGATTTGTCCAGTGTGACACCGCCTACGACTGCTTCACCTCACCTCTCTGCAGTATAAAAGCCTCTTCTACACTCATATGCTGCATTCTTATCAAAATTAATGAACTGATTACGTCGACTCCAGGCCGAGGGACTGATTACCTCAAACCCCTTTTGATCTTCAACATTCTTCTTTGTATTGGACTGATGAAGCCACTGTCTGGCGAAACGTTTCCCCAGTAAAGATACCCAAGTGTTGCTCATGTGCGTAATTTATCAACTTATCGGTTCTCTGAAAAATTTATCTACATCTCCATCTATTCTAACATTCCTCTCTTGATGTCATCTATCCCCGCTGCTATACCCACGTATATTCTTGATGCCATCTATCAACGCTGCTATACCCACGTATATTCTTCCTACTGCCTCTCGCCTTTTTCCTATACGTAGCAGTAGTAGTAGTAGTAGTAGTAGTAGTAGTATCAAAATGGTGACATTTTTATCGTTCCTCTCTGCAGGAAGTGTTAAGAACTTATCTCCAAGCATCATCCCGGTGCGTCTGATATGCGCCTCACATGCTTCCTGGGTACGCGCTTGCGTGTAGCGTGCGTTCTGGGAGTGCTGATGGGACTCATAGGTGTAGATGATGGATATGTGCTGCCATGGGGTAAACAAACTGTGGGCAACGGTCCTGTAATCTTGGCTGGTCTCTGGAGTCTCAAGGTAAGACCTCGTCTCTCTTCATAACAAACCTGAAACTGAAAGATGAATAATGTTTCGGTCCAAGACGCACAGAAACGTCGTTCTGTTTTCATATTTAATATGTACTGAAGGCTAACTACTATATTTCGGACATTGTATTGTGATTTGTTATTTTGAGGTTGTTGTAGCTGCTATACAGCTCACTCTCAGCTCAGGTTGTTGTAGCTGCTATACAGCTCACTCTCAGCTCATGTTGTTGTAGCTGCTATACAGCTCACTCTCAGCTCAGGTTGTTGTAGCTGCTATACAGCTCACTCTCAGCTCAGGTTGTTGTAGCTGCTATACAGCTCACTCTCAGCTCAGGTTGTTGTAGCTGCTACACAGCTCACTCTCAGCTCAGGTTGTTGTAGCTGCTATACAGCTCACTCTCAGCTCAGGTTGTTGTAGCTGCTATACAGCTCACTCTCAGCTCAGGTTGTTGTAGCCGTTATACAGCTCACTCTCAGCTCAGGTTGTTGTAGCTGCTATACAGCTCACTCTCAGCTCAGGTTGTTATAGCTGCTATACAGCTCACTCTCAGCTCAGGTTGTTGTAGCTGCTATACAGCTCACTCTCAGCTCAGGTTGTTGTAGCTACTATACAGCTCACTCTCAGCTCAGGTTGTTGTAGCTGCTATACAGCTCACTCTCAGCTCAGGTTGTTGTAGCTGCTACACAGCTCACTCTCAGCTCAGGTTGTTGTAGCTGCTATACAGCTCACTCTCAGCTCAGGTTGTTGTAGCTGCTATATAGCTCACTCTCAGCTCAGGTTGTTGTAGCTGCTATAAGCTCACTCTCAGCTCAGGTTGTTGTAGCTGCTATACAGCTCACTCTCAGCTCAGGTTGTTGTAGCTGCTATACAGCTCACTCTCAGCTCAGGTTGTTGCAACTGCTATACAGCTCACTCTCAGCTCAGGTTGTTGTAGCTGCTATACAGCTCACTCTCAGCTCAGGTTGTTGTAGCTGCTATACAGCTCACTCTCAGCTCAGGTTGTTGTAGCTGCTATACAGCTCACTCTCAGCTAAGGTTGTTGTAGCTGTTATACAGCTTACTCTCAGCTCAGGTTGTTGTAGCTGCTGTACAGCTCACTCTCAGCTCAGGTTGCTGTAGCTGCTGTACAGCTCACTCTCAGCTCAGGTTGTTGTAGCTGCTATACAGCTTACTCTCAGCTCAGGTTGTTGTAGCTGCTACACAGCTCACTCTCAGCTCAGGTTTTTGTAGCTGCTATACAGCTCACTCTCAGCTCAGGTTGTTGTAGCTGCTATACAGCTCACTCTCAGCTCAGGTTGTTGTAGCTGCTATACAGCTCACTCTCAGCTCAGGTTGTTGTAGCTGCTACACAGCTCACTCTCAGCTCAGGTTGTTGTAGCTGCTATACAGCTCACTCTCAGCTCAGGTTGTTGTAGCTGCTATACAGCTCACTCTCAGCTCAGGTTGTTGTAGCTGCTATACAGCTCACTCTCAGCTCAGGTTGTTGTAGCTGTTATACAGCTCACTCTCAGCTCAGGTTGTTGTAGCTGCTATACAGCTCACTCTCAGCTCAGGTTGTTGTAGCTGCTGTACATCTCACTCTCAGCTCAGGTTGTTGTAGCTGCTGTACATCTCACTCTCAGCTCAGGTTGCTGTAGCTGCTGTACAGCTCACTCTCAGCTCAGGTTGTTGTAGCTGCTGTACAGCTCACTCTCAGCTCAGGTTGTTGTAGCTACTATACAGCTCACTCTCAGCTCAGGTTGTTGTAGCTGCTACACAGCTCACTCTCAGCTCAGGTTGTTGTAGCTGCTACACAGCTCACTCTCAGCTCAGGTTGTTGTAGCTGCTACACAGCTCACTCTCAGCTCAGGTTGTTGTAGCTGCTACACAGCTCACTCTCAGCTCAGGTTGTTGTAGCTGCTACACAGCTCACTCTCAGCTCAGGTTGTTGTAGCTGCTACACAGCTCACTCTCAGCTCAGGTTGTTGTAGCTGCTACACAGCTCACTCTCAGCTCAGGTTTAAGTGTTGTTGCAGTTCAATTATTACTTTTCTAGCCAATGCGATAAAAATATTTATTAATATATAATAAATACAGATTAAAATGTATGTATTTATTAGCGTAAACGAACATGAATTAGATATGTAAGAGAATTACAGTTGCATGACAACACTGACATGCTCTCCATTGTTGTTTTGCAGGGTATTGCACTTATTGGGTACAAGCTCCTGCAAGACTATCGTATAGAAAAGGGGCAGGCGACCTATTTCTACCACCCGTACAGGCGGCGCCACGACCGAGCTCTCCTGACGGGGCTGCAGGAGGTGGAGGAGGCGCAGAAGATGCTGGTGTCAGCAGTCATAGACATGGACACTGAGGGCTGTGTACTGAAGCTCTTGTGTCACCTACACAACAACCAGACAGATACACTTTCCGCAGAGGAGAATGTACTCCTCCAGCTTTTCTCCAACAATGCGGAGACGCTGGACTCCTACAACACCACCATCTTCCTCGAGGACGCGGGGGTCCCAGGACACCCTACGTGCAACAAAGCGTTTCCCAGGTGTCCTTGGGGGGAGGAGGAACTTAGAAATGTTTTGCAGCAAACTTGGGGCTGCGGGAGCTTTCCTTTTTAAATTATGTAGCAAATCGGGATGTAACTACTTCTTGTGTAAAAGCTAGTTACTGTTGAATAATTGTGTAATGTAGTATGACTCGTCTCTGCCCATAAAGCAGTGTTCTTGGTTCGTCATTTCTTACATTATACTCCTCTATGTTTATTCCTTAATTTATTAATCTCTCCTCTTGTACATAATTTTAAATCTGCCTCAGAGATTGTATCAATGAATTTGTAATACACAAACCACAATTTTATAATATTTCTCAGGTTTCTTGATAAGATGAATATGTGAGACCTCTTTAGTGATCAAACACCTTCGTGTAATAAATTATTATTTATTTATTTGTGTATTTATTGACACATACACACGCGCACACACACACACACACACACACACACACACACACACACACACACACACACACACACACACACACACACACACACACACACACACACACACACACACACACACACACACACACATGTATCATGTATGAAAGGCCCCTGGGAGCTAGTGATCATATGGTTCTGTGCTTCGACTACATAGTTGAGCTCCAAGTGGAGAGAGTAGCAGGAATAGGCTGGGAAAAACCAAACTACAAAAGGGGGAACTACTCAGGCATGAGGAACTTCCTTCAAGACATTCAGTGGAAGAGGGAACTGACAGGAAAACCAGTACAAGAAATGATGGACTATGTAGCAACAAAATGCAAGGAGGCAGAGGAGAGGTTTGTTCCCAAGGGAAACAGAAATAATGGGAAGAACAGAACGAGTCCTTGGTTCACCCAAAGGTGTAGGGAGGCAAAAACTAGGTGTACTAGAGAATGGAAAAGGTACAGAAGACAGAGAACTCAGGAAAATAAAGAAATCAGCCGAAGAGCCAGAAACGAGTATGCACAGATAAGAAGGGAGGCTCAGAGACAATATGAAAATGACATAGCATCAAAAGTAAAGACTGACCCGAAGCTGTTGTACAGCCACTTCAGGAGGAAAACAACAGTCAAGGACCAGGTAATCAGACTGAGGAAGGGTGATGGGGAATTCACAAGAAACGACCGAGAGGTATGTCAGGAGCTCAACACAAGATTTAAAGAGGTATTTACAGTGGAAACCAGTAGGACTCCAAGAAATCAGAACAGGGGGGCACACCAGCAAGTGCTGGATGAGGTACATATAACCAAGGAGGAGGTGAAGAAGCTGCTATGCGAACTTGACACCTCAAAGGCGGTGGGACCAGACAACATCTCTCCATGGGTCCTTAAAGAGGGAGCAGAGATATTGTGTGAGCCATTAACAAAGATCTTCAACACATCATTTGAAACTGGGCAACTCCCTGAGGTATGGAAAATGGCAAATGTAGTCCCAATTTTTAAAAAGGGAAACAGACATGAGGCACTAAACTACAGACCTGTATCACTAACGTGTATAGTATGCAAGGTCATGGAGAAGATCATCAGGAGGAGAGTGTGGGGCACCTGGAAAGAAACAAGTGTATAATTGACAACCAGCACGATTTCAGGAAGAAAATCCTGTGTCACAAACCTACTAGAGTTTTATGACAAGGTGACAGAAGTAAGACAAGAGAGAGAGGGGTGGATCGACTGCGTATTTTTGGACTGCAAGAAGGCCTTCGACACAGTTCCTCACAAGAGGTTACTGCAAAAGCTAGAGGACCAGGCACACATAACAGGAAAGGCACTGCAATGGATCAGAGAATATCTGACAGGGAGGCAACAACGAGTCAGGTACGCGACGAGGTGTCAGAGTGGGCGCCTGTGACAAGCGGGGTTCCACAGGGTCAGTCCTAGGACCTGTGCTGTTCTTGGTAAAACGTGAACGACATAACGGAAGGGATAGACTCAGAAGTGTCCTTGTTTGCAGACGATGTGAAGTTAATGAGAAGAATCGAATCGGACGAGGATCAGGCAGGACTACAAAGAGATCTGGACAGGCTACAAGCCTGGTCCAGCAACTGGCTCCTTGAATTTAACCCTGCCAAATGCAAAGTCATGAAGATTGGGGAAGGGGCCCAAAGAAGACCGCAGACACAATATAGTTTAGATGGCCAAAGACTGCAAACCTCACTCAAGGAAAAAGATCTGGGGGTGAGTATAACACCGAGCATATTTCCTGAGGCGCACATCAATCAGATAACTGCTGCAGCATACGGGCGCCTGGCAAACCTACGGATAGCGTTCCGATACCTCAGTAAGGATTCGTTTAAGACTCTGTACACCATCTACGTCAGGCCCATACTGGAGTATGCAGCACCAGTTTGGAATCCACACCTAGTCAAGCACGTCAAGAAATTAGAGAAAGTGCAAAGGTTTGCAACAAGACTAGTCCCAGAGCTACGGGGATTGTCCTATGAAGAAAGGTTGAGGGAAATCGGCCTGACGACACTGGAGGCCAGGAGAGTCAGGGGAGACATGATAACGACATATAAAATACTGAGCGGAATAGACGAGGTGGACAAAGACGGGATGTTCCAGGGATGGGACACAGACACAAGAGGTCACAATTGGAAGTTGAAGACTCAGATGAATCAAGGGGATGTTAGGAAGTATTTCTTCAGTCATAGAGTAGTCAGGCCTTGGAATAGCCTAGAAAGTGATGTGGTGGAGGCAGGAACCATACATAGTTTTAAGGCGAGGTATGATAGAGCTCATGGGGCAGGGAGAGAGAGGACCTAGTAGCAATCAGCGAAGAGGCGGGGCCAGGAGCTGTGACTCGACCCCTGCAACCACAAATAAGTGAGTACAAATAGGTGAGTACACACACACACACACACACACACACACACACACACACACACACACACACACAGGGGTCAGTCCTAGGACCTGTGCTGTTCTTGGTATATGTGAATGACATAACGGAAGGGATAGACTCAGAAGTGTCCTTGTTTGCAGATGATGCGAAGTTAATGAGAAGAATCAAATCGGATGAGGATCAGGCAGGACTACAAAGAGACCTGGACAGGCTACAAGCCTGGTCCAGCAACTGGCTCCTTGAATTTAACCCTGCCAAATGCAAAGTCATGAAGATTGGGGAAGGGCAAAGAAGACCGCAGACACAATATAGTTTAGATGGCCAAAGACTGCAAACCTCACTCAAGGAAAAAGATCTGGGGGTGAGTATAACACCGAGCATATCTCCTGAGGCACACATCAATCAGATAACTGCTGCAGCATACGGGCGCCTGGCAAACCTACGGATAGCGTTCCGATACCTCAGTAAGGATTCGTTTAAGACTCTGTATACCATTTACGTCAGGCCCATACTGGAGTATGCAGCACCAGTTTGGAATCCACACATAGTCAAGCACGTCAAGAAATTAAGAAAGTGCAAAGGTTTGCAAAAAGACTAGTCCCAGAGCTACGGGGGTTGTCCTACGAAGAAAGGTTGAGGGAAATCGGCCTGACGACACTGGAGGACAGGAGGGTCAGGGGAGACATGATAACGACATATAAAATACTGCGCAGAATAGACAAGGTGGACAAAGACGGGATGTTCCAGAGAAGGGACACAGACACAAGAGGTCACAATTGGAAGTTGAAGACTCAGATGAATCAAAGGGATGTTAGAAAGTATTTCTTCAGTCACAGAGTAGTCAGGCCGTGGAATAGCCTAGAAAGTGACGTAGTGGAGGCGGGAACCATACATAGTTTTAAGGCGAGGTATAATAGAGCTCGTGGGGCAGGGAGAGAGAGGACCTAGTAGCAATCAGCGAAGAGGTGGGACCAGGAGCTGTGAATCGACCCCTGCAACCACAAATAGGTGAGTACAAATAGGTGAGTACACAGGAGGAGAGTGGTGGAGGACCTGGAACGGAACAAGAGTATAAACGCCAACCAGCACGGATTCATGGAAGGCAAATCCTGTGTCACAAACCTTCTGGAGTTTTATGATAAAATAACAGAAGTAAGACACGAGAGAGAGGGGTGGGTTGATTGCATCTTCTTGGACTGCAGGAAGGCCTTTGACACAGTTCCTCACAAGAGATTAGTGCAGAAGCTAGAGCATCAGGCGCATACAACAGGAAGGGCACTGCAATGGATCAGAGAATACCTGACAGGGAGGCAACAACGAGTCATGGTACGTAATGATGTATCACAGTGGGCACCTGTGACGAACGGGGTCTCACAGGGGTCGGTCCTAGGACCAGTGCTATTTTTGGTATATGTGAACGACATGATGGAAGGGTTAGACTCAGAAGTGTCCCTGTTTGCAGATGATGTGAAGTTAATGAGGAGAATTAAATCAGATGAGGACCAGGCAGGACTTCAAAGAGACCTGGACAGACTGGACACCTGGTCCAGCAAAAGGCTTCTCGAATTTAATCCTGCCAAATGCAAAGTCATGAAGATAGGGGAATAAATAACAAAAAGGCACAATACCGTGACTGGAACGATACACAAATAACCCGCACATAAAAGACAGAAGCTTACGACGACGTTTCGGTCCGACTTGGACCATTGACAAAGTCACACACAGTGTGACTTTGTCAATGGTCCAAGTCGGACCGAAACGTCGTCGTAAGCTTCTGTCTTTTATGTGCGGGTTATTTGTGTAAGATAGGGGAAGGGCACAGAAGACCATAGACAGAGTATAGGCTAGGTAGCCAAAGACTGCAAACCTCACTCAAGGAGAAAGATTTTGGGGTGAGTATAACACCGAGCATGTCTCCGGAAGCACACATCAACCAGATAACTGCTGCAGCATATGGGCGCCTGGCAAACCTGAGAACAGCATTCCGATACCTTAGTAAGGAATCGTTCAAGACACTGTACACCGTGTATGTCAGGCCCATACTGGAGTATGCAGCACCTGTTTGGAACCCGCACTTGATAAAGCACGTCAAGAAACTAGAAAAAGTACAAAGGTTTGCGACAAGGTTAGTTCCAGAGCTAAGGAAAATGCCCTATGAAGAAAGATTAAGGGAAATCGGCCTGACGACACTGGAGGACAGGAGGGTCAGGGGAGACATGATAACAACATATAAAATACTGCGTGGAATAGACAAGGTGGACAAAGACAGGATGTTCCAGGGAGGGGACACAGAAACAAGAGGCCACAATTGGAAGTTGAAGACACAAATGAGTCAGAGAGATATTAGGAAGTATTTCTTCAGTCATAGAGTTGTCAGGAAGTGGAATAGCCTAGAAAATGACGTAGTGGAGGCAGGAACCATACACAGTTTTAAGACGAGGTTTGATAAAGCTCATGGAGCGGGGAGAGAGAGGGCCCAGTAGCAACCGGTCAAGAGGCGGGGCCAGTAGCTAAGACTCAAC